CCTCATAAACAAAATGAACAGTAATGTTCACACTTTGAAATCTGATTGACTATACCTCGATAAACATTTTTGATATTCGAAGGTAAAGTCGTCTGACCTTTCCTTCCGGGGTTACCGGTAGGTCAAATTTAGGTGAATTTAAAATGCAAAAAGAAGTTGCAGAAAGACGAAACCTGGTATGAACATGAACCTAAGTGTGAAGATGTGGATATTTTAGTAACGTCGTCATGACGTCGTCATACATCAAATTACAAGCATTTCAGGTCAAAATTTGACAAAATAGTTTGACAGGCACGGATCGAGAGGGTGGGGAGGGGGGCCGACCCCCCCCCCCCCAGCCCCCGCTGTGAAACATGCACACAAAATATTACCCGTTCGCCTGTCACAACAAGTTGACATATTTTTTTTAGGTGCCTGACTCTCCCCCTAACCCTAACCCTATTAACCCAACCCCCTGCAAGGGGGAGGGTCAGGCTCCCTCAAAGATATTTGAGCAATATCTTTTGTCCTAATAAACCTGAGTGTTCAGTGTTTTGTGAAGTGGCAGATTGTGCCTTGGGCGATGGGCTACAGGACTACAGGGTCATCATCTTTGGATGGAATTTTTATCCCAAAAGGTCATCGGATTATACCGCAAAAATTGAACAGACAATGAAAGATGATGATATAAGCTGTAATTTGATGGGTGTCTCAAACACCTTGGAGAGTTGTGAGTATTTGTCCTGATCTTTACAAGTGGGGGTATTTATCACTGAGGTCCATGGCAGTTTATTTGCTGGTCTGCAGCCATAGATATTCTTTGAATTACCATAAACGTCTTTGCGACAATTCAGCATTGTGACGTCATCGAACGAAGTTAGTTATAATAGGGAGAATTTGAAACTGAATCGCATGTTGATTCAAAGACCACAAACAAAAAAGCTACGGTTCAAAAAGGTGTGTTCCAGGCGCGGTTCTAGAGCCAATTTTTTTTTTGGGGGGGGGGGGGGGAGGAGGCTAGCAAGGTGAATCCAGAGTTTTTTTTCCAGGGAAGCGTGCTGAAATGTAGACTGTTTATTTTATCCGGACACTCAGGCCTCTGAAAATCAATACGTGTGGGGGGGGGGGGGGGGGGTCGTGTCATATTTTCTATGGGGAGCGTTCGCCAGGGCAGTTGCTCAGGCTCCGTTTCGAATTCACTGCGAAGGGTCGAAATACATATCATTCGACGCTCAAAATTTGTCCACATGGTCCGCAATGAAAAATAAATCACATCCGGTATGTTGTGTATGCATTTCTATGGCAAACTTTTCGGATAGACAAAATTAGAACCGCGCCTGGACTGTGTTCATAGCAGCGATTGGCCAAAATGTGAGGCACAGTTGTACAGTGAGTGTAGATTTGCACACTTCTTTTGTTCGAATGACGTTTTCTGTTTATAACTGTGACCAAAAACTTTTTGCATGTAAATGAATGGAGAAAAGATAGTTTCCCACCATATCACCGCTTTATTACGATGCTTGAATGAAGAAAATGTCAAACAGACACTCACCTAAGCACAGTTCTTGAATTCTATCGCGGAAGCACTCCTCAACACTCGAGCGGATTGCTGGCTGAAAACAAATACCAACAAAAATATGAGTCATTAAAATCCTCCAGGAGATAACTTGGGGGATGGTGGGGAGGCATAACTGAATTTCAAAAGTTCTAAATGCCCCCTCCCAAAAAAGCCTCTGTCGAGTGAAATTTAATTTGGTTTGATTATTCATTTCAAACAGAAATGCGTTCTCCAACGGTCCTGTCTGGACTCAAGCGCGAGGAACATTCATGTCTCTTTTGGAAGGCTTTGCTATTTTCGAATCAAACGAAGTAATCACACAAATAAATTATATAATTGCCGGGAAAAAAAGTACCTAAAACATTACCGATTTAATGACAGAAACTTTGCGATGCTCAAAGTGAAGAGACCGGTATCACATATACACTGTGAATTGTTCAGCCTGATATATCATCTGAAAAAAATGAAGATGTTTTCGACATAGTGCGAGTGGGCAGACTATGAACGTGTGCTACAATCCTGGCCAAATCTCACTGGGCCCCCAACTCCCCGGCCCCCGTTCAGTGTTGTCGCTCATTGCGCGGTGTGTGCTCCATCAGCTGGAGAGAACAACATTGACCGGGGGAGTGGGTGACCGTGGCAGGCTCAGGAAGTGTCCAACCATTTTGGCCGGGATTGTAGCAACGAAATCAAATGACAAGAACTTAAAAAAAATAATCCCTTTAATTTATCTGTTTTTGTCAAATGTATAGCATCAACTAAGCTTAAAGTTCAAAAAGTTAGTTGTACTGCATCATACCTAAGATTGTGAGCAATTGATCCTATGTTCCTCTAACTGGTTCAAGGTTGCTTGAACTTGTAATTATAGGAATCACAATGAGCATACAGTTTCTGCATTAGTGAGGGAAATCGATCTCATGCCAAGGAAGTAGAGGCGCAAACATTACAGCTGGACTACTGCAGTCAAGTTACAGTCGTTACATAAAAATTTCATTACTGGACCAAGCCCAGTCTAATGTGGCTTTCTTAGCTGTAGGTAGCTTTCTAGCACCTGGCTCATCACTCGTCACTCAAATTCTGATGTGAGGCAGGCTGGCTCTAGACAACAGACGCATGTACATTGGGGATAGCCTAACTGTTTATCAAGGACAAACCACTGCACTCCCACCTGTTTTATTATTATGTGCGAACATATTTATGGTCGTCAACTGATTAAATAGCCATTATCTTAGTAGGGGGCTCATGAATACGAACCCGGGAATCCCGGGTTCGCGAAAGCCACATTACTGAGACTGGGCTTGGTCCAGTAATGTATTTTCCGGATGGGAAATCAGCGCACCGGTTTGGCTCTAGTAAGCCACCATCTGTTTGCCAACTGAAACGTGACTCTAAACATTTGGGATTTGTGAAAATCTGTACCAATAACACAACCAAAAACATTCGAAATATTAAGCCAAATACCAATATTGCTTTGTCCCAAAATATTCAACAGCTCAGTTGCATGCTGAGTGGAACCCTACATGCAAACATGACTGAATTCATCCGAGAGCTTTTGCTTCAAATTTTAAGGCGAACAGCAGAGCAGAAGGACTGAATAATTTGTACAAACATCAATTCTATGCATGATTTCTACAAATGAACCCAGCTAGATAAAACAATTTGAACTTGAATAAAACCGTACGCAAATACTAACAGACCGGATGATCATGCACTTAGTACGAAGTGCATGATCATCCGGTCTGTTAGTATTTGCGTCCTATAACTGTGAGGCTATAGAGTGTTTATTCCGACTAGTCACACTTTTATCCAACCATGTTTGATTGTAAATGACGATCACTATAATTGTGGCGGTTCGGACCGCGCTGGTTTGGCTGTTAGTTATCGTGCAACAGCATCGGTATCATAGTCACGCAAGATCAGTTTCAATTCCAATTTAATTTGTTCATAAACATTTTGTTGTTCAGCCCTCACTCCTCAAGCAACTACACATCACAAGCTTACAAAGAAGCGAGGCTCAAGCCTACTACCACGCTCGCTGTTTGGAAACAGTGTCAGCAATAATCTTCGGAATTTCAATCCCACGTTGATTCAAACTACGTGCAAGAAGGCACATTGTTTCGGGGGAAAAAACATAATTGTTTCAAACACTCACCGAGCACAATCTTGTTCTTGCAATCAGTTCTCTCTCTGGTTGTCGTCCGAAGGAGCTAGGTTACGAGCTGTGAGGGGAGAAGCGGCCCGCATCTGCCTTAAATCTTGGAATCGATTTCCTGAGCAGTGACTGAGGGACTGTCAATCACACATCACCGACTCGCTTCATATTACTGAGACGAAAGTCATGTTAATATCGTTGAGGCTATTGAAGTCACCCATACAAACTTGTGTCACCGACACTGAAATAGCCACATCCTATTGGTTGATACTGTATCGATGTCGGTGACAAATCCAAAACACATGATTTGTGATTGACACGCAAAACTACATCCCGGCACTTGTGGTGACCGCTAGTCACCGAGTAACTGTGATTGGTGGATAGAATAATGACGTACACCTGCCGTGATTTACTCGGTGATCAGTTTGCGCTGTATAATTTCTCCATGGTTTGAGTCTCAGCCGGGGTAGTAGAAGTATATACTCAGTGTGTTTTTTGTTTTGTATGTAGTCACCATCAAATTGATTCAGTACATGAAAATCAATTATGTGTAATGGGCAGTTAAGGTTACACACATTGTTAAAATGGGCTTCATTTTAGAACAAACCAACATAGAACTAGCACACTAAATTGTCCAGCTATTGTCTAGTTATTGTGTAAGGTCTAATGTTGAGTTATGACTTTTTTATTTAACAAGGCTGGCTGACGGGGAGGGGTGGGGTCACGGCAGCAAAATCAGTAGTTGGAATAACTAAATCAGAAGTGGAGAGAAGACGACTGGTTTTAAATCGATGCTTCTCATCCGGCCTTCCCTCGATTGATTCATGAAATCTATAGAGAGAAGGGGGTGCCGGGATGGGAGCGCCCCCATAGCGCCAAATGAGGTTCAGCCCCCCCCCCCCCCCCCCTCCACACACACCCACACAATCAACCCCAGACAAATAGTGTACTGTACACTTGCATCTTCTCTACAATACAGAGTCAGGATTGTTTGCAACAACAAGTTTTAGCAGGAAATCAGTGGTTAGGCGTAATGACCGCTTTGACAGGGACTTTGAGGAAATACACAATGCATGGGAATGAATCCACCAGGACAAAACAACATGAACTTCGGTGAACTATGCGCATCCTATCCTGTCCCTGCATATCCAGGGCACTCCAATGGTGACTGTACGCATACAATCAGATCAGTTTTGGCATTGAGATTACATTTTATATTTAAAAAAAAAATCGTCCATTGGGGGCGCTGTTCCAACCAGACGATCATGGACACTATCGGACAATAGGTGGCGCCACGCTGCGTGGCTAAAATAAATACACAACAACCAGACATGCCAGATGGAGCAAAATTGTTGTTCACAAACATGACAAAGTGGAAGGAACTGAAGGTGATATTCGATAAGGAAAAAGCCGCAGCTGTGGAGAATGAAGCGATTTTGGCAGAAGGAATCCCTCGGTTGGACTGGGGTTATCGTGACGATGCTCTTGCTAGATAGAGTGTTCGAGATAGGTCAGCAAATTATGTCGGGTGGGATTCGGGTGTTCAAAATCATGGTCATGGTGTTTGCAGGTTCAAGTGTAGTCCGCGGACCACCGTAGCCTAACTTGGAGTTGGACCATAGCCGGCATAAATGTGGCCAATTTACTGGACTACCTCCGCAAGTAAAGGCCACACTTCCACAATGTCCATCAATGACAATGGCATCATGTACAAAAACATGTCGAACTTTGTCAAATTTTGATATTCACATTTAGGCCTAGTTTGTACTTTATTTTTGGTTTAGAAGTTACTCACCATGCTCACTTTTGTCATGTTTTTTGTGCTGCCTTTTTCAGATGTCTAATTTTCGTGAAATTTTATGTTTAAATGTTGATATGCGAACGTGTGCAAACGAATCTGGAAATTTCACGAAAAAGAGACATCTGAAAAAGGCAGCACTTTCTGATTAGGCTATGAAGAGGGTGAGTAGGCTTCTACTAAAAAGCAAAAATAAACTACAACAAATTAAGCCTAAATGTGCAAATCAAAATTTGACAAAGTTTGACATGTTTTTGTACATGGTGGAAGTGTTGCCTTTATTTACGGAGGTAGTCCAGTAGTAAATTGGCCACATTTATGGGGCTAAGTTGGACCTAGCCCCATAAATGTGGCCTATTTACTGGACTGCCTCCGTAAACATAGGCCACACATCCACATGTACAAAAATCGTGTCGACGGAGCCAAATTTTGATTTTCACATTTAGGCTTAGTTTGTAGGTTTTTTTGCTTTAGAAGCATACTCACCCTCTTTATAGGCTAATCAGAAAGTGCTGCCTTTTTCAGATGTATATTTTTCGTGAAATTTCCAGATTCATTTTTACACGTTTGCGTATCAAAATTTCAACATGAAATTTCACAAAAATTAGACATCTGAAATAGGCAGCACTTTCTGATTAGCCTGTAAAGAGGGTGAGTATGCTTCTAAAGCAAAAAAACCCTACAAACTAAGCCTAAATGTGAAAATCAAAATTTGGCTCCGTCGACACGATTTTTGTACATGTGGATGTGTGGCCTATGTTTACGGAGGCAGTCCAGTAAATAGGCCACATTTATGGGGCTAAGTTGGACCTAGTCCGAGTAACTTGGACCCAACCTATCGCCTTTTTTAACCTTTGGACATGGTCTGGCGATAGTGGGGTCCAAGCTAATTCCCGTATATGCCGAGCAACACAATTTCGTCTTTTGACCCAAAAACCCAACATTGCCCAACAAAAACATCAGATTTCACCCTCAAAATAGCGTCCAAATTACTAGATACGCCACCTGAGGTTCAAGTAGACATCAATAATTAAGATGGTTGTACTGAAGTTTACTTACGATCTGGATGAAAAGTGAAATTTCCCATTCAATCCCGAAAGCTCCCCTTGCGATCGTGAACACGTTCAATTTCAGACTCATGTTAATGTTTGAACGATGTGATGTGGTCTTCATGCCCAGCGTACATTGTACATTCGATGGTCCCCATATCCCGAGTGCGATTCCGTTAGAGAGTCGGGAACTAGGACAGCTTTTATGGGCGGAAGCCAGTTCAAGCTAGTTCCCGATTGTCTTTTACCATTTGAAATCCACTTGTGTTCACAAGCAAGATCCAGTCTACTCATTATCATAATCGATGCTTCGCGCTCGGTAACGGAATCGCACTTGGGATATGGGGACCATTGAATGTACGCTGGGCATGAAGACTACATCGTGTCGTTCAAACATTAACACGAGTCGGAAATTTAACGTGTTCATGATCGCGAGGGGAGCTCTCAGAATTGAACGGGAAATTTCACTTTTCTTGGTTGGTGAAATACTGAGGACATTTTCTTTGCCCGTTTTGTTTTGCACGTTTCAGAGCCCTGTCTGCTGTAAGTGTAACTTAGCCCTAGTCCTAGCCCAGGTTGGACTCTGTTGTGTACACGCAACGGAGTCCAGGGTATGAATCTCTCCTGCCATAGCGAAAAAAGTTTTAACACATTTAGTATTAGTAAATATTGCTTGACATTATTTATGCTTATTGAATTCTTCTCATTGTCTTTGGGTAATGTTTTTTTTTTTTTTCATTAGAAAATTTACCTGGCAGGTCACACAGTGGATGATTTGGTGAACAAGACAATAGAATACCTTCAGCCCAATCCAGGTAAGAACCAAAATTGAAACATCATTGACGCTAACCTTTCCAAATCCTCCAAAATCCTATTTGCAAAATGTAGGCTTTTGCAGGATTGAGGCTATATGGCAAAAATGTGTGCCTGATTTATGAGGATGCACTGTGTCAAGGTCTTGGGCCGGATCTTGTGATGTTCCTTGAGCTCAGGGAACCAGACTAGCTGGCTTGCATCCATTCACGGATGTGAAACCGCTTGCAAAAAAAATGTGGACTAAATAAATTGGGTAAATTGGGGCACTATTTGGCAAAATCAGTTTCTTCCAACGATGGTCAATCGACCATCTTTTGAAATCAATACAAAAATTCCACTTTTCTTAAAAATGACAGCACACCAGGTGCCATGATTTCACAGGATGTCTGAGACTGTCATTCACCTACAGTCAAGTAAAGTATTTCATAATAATTTGGTAGTTTTGTTTGTTGATGTTTGCAAATGTTGTATATTACCTTTAATTGTAACCTTTAATAATTACGTTTGGGGTGACTATAGAACACCGGTTTGAATCAGGTCTAAGTATTCACTTCAAACAAACCAAATAGAGATAGATCTTCTATTGTGTGCTGACCCTAATCAATCGTATTGTCTTTCCTGAACAGTCTCCAGAGCCATGAGTAAAGTCCGTGGTCAGAACAAAGGAGGAACCAAGCCTCAACAACCCGTAGGATTCCTGGGAGAAGTCATGCTGAAGAATGGCAGAGAATTAGGAGAAGATTCAACGTTTGGTGAGCAAACTTCAAGATGTATTCTCTTTCCTTCTGTGGTAGACTGATAATAAAGCTCTCAAAAAGGTGCTCTAATCAGCGTTCAATCCACCAACATAGTACCATGAGTAATGTGTAATTTATGTAGGGCCCAACACTTCAGATATGCAAGGCCAAGTAAAGAAATAAACCAGTTTCTCGTAGCTGCCCGCTGCCTTTTTTGCACCCAAATTTCTTTTTGCAATATACAGGTGAGTCAAAAAAGACAAAACTCAAATGGCAGGACCAATTTTTGAATAAAGTTTTGCCTGTAGCACTTTCCAAATCTAGGATATGAAAGCCCAATCAATGGGCTTTGTTTTAGCGCAAGAATCATTCAAATCACTCATGAACTTTTCAAGTTGCTTAATTTTCAACACAAACACTGTTTTTTTCAGTAAAATGACAACAATTCACATGCATTCCTGTGAGAATTGTTTTCATTTTGCTGCAAGAACACTTCCTATTTTTGTGATGTGTGGACAGAACTCTAAAACGGTGGTTGTGTTCAAAATTTCGTAACTTGAAAAGTACATGAGTGATTTGAATGATTCTTGTTCTAAAAGAAAGTTTACTAACTGGGCTTTCATATCCTAGATTTTGAAAGTGCTACAGGAAAAACTTCAATCAAAAGTTGGTCCAGCCGTTTGGGTTTCGGTTTTTTTACTCGCCCTTTATTTGGCAAATTTGTCAGTTGTCTGTTTATTTGTTTCCAACAATATTGTAGCTACATGTACTAGTACAGCAGATAGGCGATGGGATTGTGCCTTTGATGATACAAGCATGGCATTTGGCACACAGTCAGAGTATGTCACAAGAAAGATATTTGGCCATAGGGCCATCGCAGATTTGTCCTTTGAACAAATATAGACAAATCCGATGGCAGCCATTTTCTGCGGTGGCGCAATGTTTGCGCGAGTCGCACTCAGGTAGGGCGCGTGCTCTAGGCTCCTTCAACCAATAAGAATACCAAATGCACGCGCGCCTCGTCTTTAAGAACGCGTTCAGTATGCGTGTGAGCGAGACACCACCGCAGTAAAAACCTGCTAATTCTGGTCGCCAGATTCCACTATAGGTAGAAAAATGACCAATGGCAGCCATTTTGAAAATTTTGAATATTGCTTGTTAACTAGATTTTTTCAAAGGGCAAATCTGTGATGGCCCTTTAATAAGACATACTCTGACTGTGTGCCAAATGCCATGCTTGTATCATCAACTTTAGGCACAATTCTCCCAAATATTTCCGCTGAATAATGCATTTCATAGACCATCCCAGCTCCCGTGGTATACATAGCCCAGCTGTTCTCATTTTGATGGAAACATCAGAACAATAAAATCTTGCCTCGTTTGGATACAGGTACGGCGATGGTCGAGATGGGCGAATCGCTGAGGCAACTGTCTGAAGTCAAGGACGCCTTTGATCTGAACGTCAGACAGAACTTCCTGGATCCCCTGGATCATCTCAAGAACAAAGATCTGAAGGAGATCAACGTGAGTTCCATCTTACAAAATCTAACATCATCCATTATGATAGAATCAGGACTGTGTTGCACAGCCACGTTCGGGGAAATTCAAGCACAAATTAGGGAAAATGGAAAAGCATAAAGCCACGTCAGAATGAAGTGGCTACGGCTAATACATTAGTTGCACCTATGGAAGCAGATGAAGCCACTTCCCATGTGGGCTAGTGTTAGTCGTAGCCATGTCATTCAGACATGGCTAATGCTCACTAACAGAAGGGTTAACCAGGGTTACTGGAAATTACATTCTCATATAGCGTAATCCGGCAAACAAAATTAGAAGCCATTTTTGAGGTCGCGCCACGACTACGGCACGCGTTCTTAAAGACGAGGCTCGCAAATGTTTTGGTCGAAGGAGTCCGGAGTGCGCGATTCACGTGAGCCTAGTGCCTCCGCATTTATCCTGAGTTATCCTGTTCACAGACAAACCAAGGCCGATGAAAACATATACCTCACCTCATGGTGGAGGGAAAAAAAGCAGACGGGAAACCATTTTTTGTTTTACTCTGTCTAATAATGCATTTCATAGACCATGCATTTCATAGACAATCTCAGCTCCCAGGGTATACTTAGCACAGCTGTTTAGTTTGGGTGGAAACAACAGAACAATAAAATGTTGTTTTTTATAGGTATCAAAAAAAAACTGTTTTGGTTATTTTTTGGATACAGCTACGGCGATGGTCGAGATGGGAGAATCACTGAAGCAACTTTCTGAAGTCAAGGGCGCCTTCGATTTGAACGTCGGACAGAACTTCCTGGATCCCTGGATCATCTCAAGAACAAAGATCTGAAGGAGATCAACGTGAGTCCCATCTTACAGAATCTGACAGAATTTGGTTGATTTTGATAGAAGCAGGACTGTGTTGCACAGCCACCTGCGGGGAAATTTAGGCACAAATTGTGGCCAATCTGGAAAAAAATTGATAGAAGACCAGTGATCGATTACTAGTTGATTTGGGTTATAACTTATGCCTGTGTACTTTGGGTCATTCGATAAATTTGGGGTCCACTTTTTTCCTGTCCCTGTTACATCTGACATCTGTGATTTTATAATTCTGATACACTCCTTAATGCAGTCATCCTCCAAGAGTGATTATGAATAGCAAACTACCTACACAACGAATACAAAATTGTTTAAAGTCATTTTTAACCCTAACTCCCTGGGCATTTTTGCGATGATGCTGCAAAATCCTCCAACTGCCTCCATGTCAAAATTGCATGCAGCCTCAATCCTGCAAAATCCTCCATTATTTCTTGAATGTGATCCGTGGAAGAATGATCACTGCCTCAATCCTACAAAATCCTCCAGCAATCACTGTCAATATGTTGAGGCAGAGCCAGTGACATCCTGGAGCAGTGCGGAGGACTTCAAGTATAATTTATGCACAGCTGAGCATAAACAAACACAAGGCCCGGCCCAAGACCTTGACACACTGCATCCTGCAAAATCAGCCACACATTTTTGCCAATTAAACAGCCTCAATCCTGCAAAATCCTCCATTTTGCAAAGAGGATTTGGGAGGATTAAGGAAGGTTAGGGTTAATGCAGTCGTCCACCAAGAGTGATTATGTGAAGCAGACAACCTACCCAACAAATTGTTGAAGTCATTCTTAATGATACTTGAACAGCAAATGACAATGCTCAGAGATAACAGGAACTCGAAAATTGTCACACTTTGACCCATAATTTATATAAGGTGCCTTACAGCAATGTGCAAATGTCTCTTGTTAAACAATAAGTTTATTTGTCTCCCCAATGTTTGTTTTTTCCAGCACCATCGGAAGAAGTTGCAGGGGCGACGTCTTGACTTTGACTACAAAAAGAAGAAGCAAGCAAAAGGTAGGCGACAGATTATCTCAACTCCATCATATCAAATCATCTTACATTACTAAAATATCATAATTAAAACAAAAATAAACCATCAGACTTCCTAAGTGTTATTGCTAAGGCGAGCCATCAGATAACAGACCGTTCGGGTACCGGGTCCGGTATGCTAATTTCTTTCACCCCAATCGGTACGAAGCCAGAAGCCACCCGGTCACTGAAGCGTGACGCCCCAATCGGTCCAAACTGGTGACTCAGGGTTTCACAATAGGCAACATAAATTGAAGTCTAGCCATTGTTGGAGGATTATTCGGCCCGCTGGGATTACCGGCGGCAACTTCTATGAAGCTCATCACAGTCATTGTTGCCTACTGGAGGATTAGCGCGTCGCAAATTGGTTCCTTTGTGATGAGCCAGAGCCATGGTGCAGAAGCCTGGTGGACTTAATCCAGGCCGATCGGTTCCATGCAAGGTCCCAATCCCTTCAACATACTGGGCGGGCTCAACCCCGAACGGTCCGGGGAGGGATTCTAATTTGAGGGCTCGCCTAACCTGACACTGAATTTATCATTATTAATTGTCATAGAGTATGTCCCAAAAAGTGTCTGTGGAAAAAAAGTCTGATGTGGTTTGGGATTGGAATCATTTGCCCTTGAGCATTAAACCGAGGTCTTGCCGTGATGACTGATAGCCAGGCAAATGATTCCAATCCCAATTGCAGCCCTTTTCACAACATGCAGGATTTTACACAGCTTACTTAACACAGCACTGAAATTGATTAAGGCAAGGAACTTGGTCACAGTGTCCCAAAATGTTGTTGTGATCAATTGACAAGTGTGCAGTGATGCGTGACTGAAATTAAATGAAACCCATCGGGGTTGAGGCCAAGATAGGGAGTATCTGCACAATCAAACTTTTTCAAATTGGACTTCATGGTTTTGTAGTTATTTCAAAAATAGTCAGACGGACATTTCCTTTGGACATACTGGTATAATGCGTATAATATTTGTTTGCATTAAAAGAAAAACACAAATTGCATTTAAAATATACGAACACTGTCGTTTTCTGCTATGCTTCCGAGGCTTAATTGGCTTTGTGTTTTCCTTTGTTCCCTGATCTAAACCTTTCCCATAGACTTAGTGCACAAACCGGCGTTGGAGGACAATAGGCACTGTTGTTCGAGTACCGTATTTTGTGTACCGAAATGTGTACTCACAGTTGAGTACTTGAAGAAGACTTTGCGGGATGAATTTTGATGAACAGTTTGAGTAAAATGCAAGCAGGTCTTTAAAATATTAAGTCAAAGTGGCAAAATGTATAACAAGATCATTAAACCAGATTTGTCCAGGTTTTTGGCTTTTTGCAGCGCTAACGTTGGTCTTTTCCAAGACCTGGTCACAATTTATTTAGAGCAAATGCATTCAAATTTTCTTTCCTGATTGGTTTTCGTCTAGATTGGTGGGTTGGGTAAGATCAAGACCAACACAATCATCAAGGAGCTCTCCAAAGCCTGGATGCTGGATGAGGAAGCAGCCTGGAGACCAAAAGTTTCCTTGGAAGATCAGCAAGGAAGAAGTCACCACGCTCAAAGAGAAGGTAGAATCAGGTAGTTGGTCAGTAGTGCAGAATGATTCACAATATGTTAACTAATGCATGCAAAATAGAGAAAAAAGTGAAAGTTTAACGACTATCATCCTACCCTATATTTTTAGGCTATAGAAATGTCAAACCCCCAAAACAGATTTTTACCTAACCTACCACACAGTTGTTTTTTTATATATAATAGAAAACACCACACTTTTTGTTCTTGGTTGGCCTTATTATTTTAATATACGTTTCAGTGTTCAATTCATTTCATTTAGTCTTTCAGATATCTCTCAGGTTATTCTGGATGGCTGCATGTCAAAGGAAACACATGCTTTATGTCAAAGGGAGATAATGCTCTGTATAATTTTTGTTTGTGAACCCCCCCCCCCCCCAACCTCCGCTCCCACCTCCCACCACCCCCAGGCTTGACCCTACTCATCCCTCACCTCATCTCCATGAAATCCAACTGGGAAAAATGCAAGCTGCGCGTCTTTGCCACCACGGGCAAGAAGAAGCAAATGGACAGGGAGAAGATGAACATGGCCAACATGCTCAGCAAGTTCCGCATCAACTGCTCGGACGTGGAGGTCATCCCGGACCTGAACAAGAAGCCCAAGGAGTAGAGCCTGAGACGGTTCAAGGAGCTGTCCAAACCCTGGATGCTGGATGAGGAAGCAGGCGAGACCACGGAGAAGTTTCCTTGGAAGATCAGCAAGAAAGTAGTCACTACGCTCAACGAGAAGGTAGAATCTCCTTCTTGCACTCAAGCAAACCCCCCCCCCCCCCCTCCACAGAAAAAAAACTATAAACGAGGGCCATTTGGGCGCCATCGTGGCTTATAAATGCTGGTACCGATATGAACGATATCCAGCATGAGTGAACCAGTGAAGTGTCCCTCATTCCGGCTTCTGCTTGTTTGACTATAAAGCGCCCTCTTTCGTCCATGCATGGAGACAATACACTTAGAGCTCTTCCCAGTACCCACCTTATACGGAAGATGGATAGTGCCACTCAATGAGTGTGAATATTTTTTCGTTGGTGCGTGTGAAAAATTATTTTTTTGTACAGCGGCCGCCACTTATTATATGGCGGCCGTCAGATAATAAGTGGCGGCCGCTGTACAAAAAAAATATTCCCACAAGCACCAAAAAAATATATTCACACTCATTGAGTGGCACTATCTGTCTTCCGTAACTTAACGCGTAGTACCTAGTTTTTGTGATTTCAACATACAGGGTGAGCAGAATATTTCGATGAGTATTTTGAGTACCGAAATGTGTACTCACAGACTTTGCGGAATGAATTTTGATGAACAGTTTGAGTAAAATGCAAGCAGGTCTTTAAAGAATTGAGTCAAAGTTGCAAAATGTATAACAAGATCATTAAACCAGATTTGTTGAGGTTTCTCGCTTTTTTTCAGCACTAACGTTGGTCTTTCCAAGACCTGAACACAATTTATTTAGAGCAAATGCATTCAAATTTTCCTTCCTGATTGGTTTCCGTCTAGATTGGTGGGTTGGGTAAGATCAAGACCAGCACAATCATCAAGG